GTGTTCAGGTGTCCAACAAACAGACGGAGGGATGTAGTTGGTTCTGTGGCTTCCACCTTCTTTTTCTTGGCCGCAGAAGCTGCTTTCTGTTTAATCATTTCCATCTTTCGTTTTCCAGGAGCTTCTTTAACAGGCTCTTCTTCCTCCTCATCTTCCTCATCTTCATCGTCTTCCTCCTCATCTTCTTCTTCCTCATCCTCATCTTCATCTTCATCTTCATCTTCAGCCATGGTTTTGGCTTTCACAGGTGCAGCTTTTTTTTTAAAATTTATTCATTTTCTACATTAATTCACTATACACCATCACAACACACAAATGAATTTTCCATCCAAAATACACTGTGCATTGGCTCAATCAAGCACATCAACATACATGTTCTCAGCAAAGAATTTTCCAATTCTTATGAAATTAAATATTTTTTAATGTTCAAAATATACGTGTCCTGGGGGCAAATGGCAGAGCAGTTGTGAAACACAATGTTCTGTGAGGCAATCCCACAGAATGTGGATTCAGGGCCAGAGACCTCCCTGATACACCGGGTACATGCTTGGCCCTTAATTTAGTCTGTCTGAAGCTGGGGGTAAATCCTAGAGTCAGGATCCTTTTGGGGTGCGCTTTCTCTCTCTCTTGCTCATGAAAGAAATAAATTAACTTAAGGAAAAAAATACCTGCTCATTCTGCCTTACGAAGCATGGTCAAATACATTCTGAAGAGTGTAAGTTGACCTTAGAGGTGACTCAGTGGCCCTCCCCTCCTCTGCACTTCCAATCCCTGCTCCTGAGGACGGCATCTTGCTGCAATACCTGCCTCTCTCCACCTGAGGGCTCTCCCTAGAACCACAAATAGGCCAGAAATGCCTGGTGACTGTCATGTAGCCAATGTTAAAAGAGAATTGGAGAATTTATTGTGCCCCAAATAAGACAACTCAGAAAAATACTGCTCTGGCTCCAGAGTTCCCTAGTGGGAGAGAGCTACAATTGCCTACATCAGAAAGCTTGACAACACTCACTTTATCATCCTCACTATCTGCCATTCCTTATCCATGCTTTCTTAAATCTTCTCCCAAATAAACTACTTACACCCAAATTCTTGCTTGAAGATCTGTTGGGAACCCAACCTAATACTGTGACTAACTAAAATGTATTACATATAAAAAGAAGGATGAAAACCAAAATTAAATATTTTTTAAGGTTTTTGCCATATGGCACATGCACTCATTGGAGAGCGGCAAAGAAAGAGAGAGAAAAGAGAGAGAAAGTGAGAAATCACTCCCCGGGGGGATGGCTACACTCCAATCCTTTCTCCTTCAGTCTACCCTGCAGATTTTGGGGCATGCATGCACATGCACCCAGAGTGATTTTGAAGCCATCAGGTCTGGGACTCAAACCACAGTTGGCCATGTAAGAGTCCAGTACCTTAACCACTACACCACCTGCTGGTCCTTCAAATTAAATATTTTTTAAAAGTAAGTATTAGATAAATCACTAAACAACTAGGTAAAAGTATAAATGTCCCTAATATGTTTCTGTTCTTGATATCTGTTAGATCTTGTGTCAATAATAAAATACACGAAGGATAACTTTTTTGGGAAGCAAATAAAGTAAAATGTAATGGAAAGTAAACAGTCTCAGTAGGATTAATATCTTCAAAAGAAGTATATTAAAGAAACCCTGGATATAATTAGTAGCAACTAAAAAAGAAAAAGAAATATATCCTAGGATAAAGTGACAAAGTTAGCCACATGCCAGCCCCAGAGAGGCAGCAGAATGGGGAGCAGAGCCCCGGCCACGCAGGCCCCGGGCCGCGCAGGGCCCAGGGGGCCCACGCAGGCGCTGCCACGCAGGGCCCACGGGTGCAGCTTTTGAAGGGATTTTCTTTCCTTTGGCTGGTATGGTCTCCATAGTTCTTTTTTCTTTTTTTTGAGAGGTTTACACTATAGGGCGCGTGCGCTCACCAGACAGACAGAGAGAGACATAGAGACAGAAAGCGAGAAATCAACCCCCAGGGGGGATGGTCACACTGCAATCCCTTCTCTTCCATTCTCCTCTCGGGATCTTGGGCACGCAAGCACACACGCCCGGCGTGAGTTTTAAGCCACCAAGTCCGGGACGCGAACCGCGGTCGACTACATGGGAGTCCAGTGATATAACCATTCCGTTAACTGCTGGTTCCCTCCATAGTTCCTCTTCAGACTCATCTTCCTCATCCTTATCTTCCTCCTCATCATCGTCCTTATCCTCCTGCTGCTTTCATCACTGCTGGCTCAAATTCATCCTCATCTTCATCCTCATCCTCATCATCTTCCTCACTGTCATCTTCCTCCTCATCGCTGTCTTCCTTCTTGGCATTCTTGCCATTCTTTGCCCCCTTGGCTGGGGTGGCAGCTCCTTTCTTACCAGGAGCTGCTACCAATGCTTTGCCCAGCATGACTCCCTTCTTGCCAGGTGACTGCTTTGGCTGGTGTAACGGTCTTCCTGGACAGTATGGTAGCTGCTTTTGTGCCTGGGGTGACCGCGGCTTTCTTGGCAGGTGTGGCAACTGCAACTTTTCTGTTGGGAAAAATTACCACCTTCTTTGCTGGAGTTGTGGCAGCCTTCTTACCTTTTTTCTGAGAAATGATAGCCTCTTCTTCACTGCTATCATCTCCATCTTCTGACATTTCCTCATCTTCACTGTCTTCTACCTCCTTTGGAGCAGGAGCCGTTTTGGGGAGAGCACCTTGATTTTTACCAGCCTTAGCAAGCCCTTGGTGAGCTTCACCATGATGGCGGCTTATGATAGCAGAATGTGTGGTGGGAGTGGGGGTGGTGACACAAATGAATCTTGAGGAACTCCAGTGACATTGATGGAGGCCGCGGGCACTCAGTCTCTGTGAATTTTCTAAGTGGCCCACATAGCAAGAGGTGCAAAGGTACCCATGTGAGCCATGGTGGTGACCACAGTGAAGTTTATGCCAATGGTCCAGTTTCAATTTGCAGGGCTTTGGAAAAAGGGAAGTTTCAAGTTTTTTGAGATACCATGTCAAGAGGGTGGAAGAAAATCTAAAATGTTTGTTTGAAAGGCCAAGAATCCTTTTAAACCGAGTAGCCAGGGCTGGCTCCAAGGCCTGGGGTCATTAAGGGAGCTGGGTCCCCTACAGCCAACTAAACAGTTAGAATCCCAGCCCCAGCAGTTTGAAAAACACACTAGGCAAGTGTGCGTGCATGCCCAGAATCCTGACAGGATGAAGAGGAAGAGGAGAAGGGATTGGGGCATGACCATGCCCTAATGGAGGATGTTTTCTCCCTCTGTCTCTCTGTCCCTCTTTGGTGAGCACAGGTAATCTCTGGCAAGTGAAAAAAAAAAAAAAAGTGGTAGCCAGACATGGAGGAAACTAGAGGGTAAGCAGCATGCAGATAATAGGTAGATAAAATATCCGAGACAGCAGACAGGGATAGGAGCCAATAACCTGCAGGTTTGCTATAGTTTTCCATTGAAACATAATTTTTCTTTTTATATGCACCCCTGTAACTATACAAGAGAATCAAAGTTAGAATAACCTGTTTGCAAATAAGTCTAGTCCCACAAAATTAGGCCTAATTATTTATATAAGAGCAGCAAGAATGTTATTGCAGTTTTTTGTTTTGTTGTTTGTTTAGTTTGAACCCTTCATAAGGAAGCTCAGATTAGACTCTTAAACTTCTCAAGGCTAGAAAGCCATGTCTACGACCTGCCAGCCAACTTTACCTGCAATACCTACATATTAGGGTGACCTGTCTTCTTGAGGTCCTCAAAGTATCCTGAGTTTCCTGGGATGCCAAAAGAGGACCTTTTAAACTCCTATGGAAGGCCAAGAATCCTTTTAAACCAAGTACCAGGCTATTTCCTCCCAAGGGGCTTTGTAAGGATTTGCTCCATAAAAATCAACCTTAGTTTCTTTCTTTCTTTTTTTTTTTTTGGAGAGGTTTTTGCTATAGGGCGCATGCACTCACCAGACAGACAGAGAGAGACATAGAGACAGAAAGCGAGAAATCACCCCTCAGAGGGGATGGCCACACCGCAATCCCTTCTCCTCCATTCTCCTCTCGGGATCTTGGGCACACATGCACACGTGCTCGGAATGAGTTTTAAGCCATCAGGTCCGGGACACGAACCGTGGTTGACTACATGGGAGTCCAGCGACATAGCCATTACACTAACTGCTGGTCCCAACTTTAGATTCTTAAAGAGATCTGATCATATCCGATTCTGTACACATTCTCAAATGTGATAGTCTGGTCAAAGCCTTGGTAGTATAACCAGTATTCTAATAATGTCCCATGACAAAGAGAATACATTTTTATTGAATTCATGCAGATAATATTGACATGAAAATAAGAATACTCATGAAAAGTTTCCAAATTCTAGAAGGATCACATAGATAGAGCAAGATAAATGTTTCAGTTCTGTTTATAAAACTATACCAGGTTGTTGTAGGTATAGGTAGCTTAAGAAAAAGAGAAGGGGTTTCTTTAAATCTGGAACATTTGGGGAAAAGGGCAATTTTAGTTTTTTCTTAGTTTCTACTAGAAATCAATTTCTACTACAAATGAACCATCAATGTTTCAAACAAGGTCATCAAATCAAAATCTTGAGGCCAGCAGATGACACAGTAGTTATGTTGTTGGACTCCTACATGGCCAACCACGGTTCCAGTCGCAGATCCAGTGGCTTGAAAATCAGACTGGGCATGTGTGCGTGCATGTCCAATATTCCAGGAGAAGAATGGCGGAGAAAAGACTGAAGCATAGTCATCCCCCTAGGGTTGATTTCCTATCTCTCACTGTCTCTGTCTCTCTCCAGTGAGTGCTCATGCCCTGAGGGAGAAACTTCTGGGAAAAAAAAGAAGAAAGCAAAGTAAAGAAAAATCAAAATCTTTCATCGGTTCATACAGTCGAATGTAATTAATTGTTATTGCAATTGATCTTGGACTAGCAGTTTCAACAATCAATCCATTCGTTTTTTAGAGTTCTGTAAGTTCTGACCCACTTTAATGGTATCATCTTCAAGTTTTCAGAAACCTGTATTCCAAGATTCTAAGTGGAATCTTTCTCATAAATCTTTTTTTTTTTTTGGAGAGGTTTTCGCTATAGGGTACGTGTGCTCACCAGATAGAGAGAGACAGAGAGACAGAAAGTGAGAAATCACCCCCCAAGGGGGATAGTCACGCTGCAATCCCTTCTCCTCCATTCTCCTCTCGGAATCTTGGGCACACACGCACACGTGCCCGGAGTGAGTTAAGCCACCGGGTCCGGGACACGAACCGCGGTTGACTACATGGGAGTCCAGCGATATAGCCGTTACGCTAACTCATAAATCTTCTTGAAAAAGAAGCAATTTGGGGGCCCAGCAGATGGCATAGTGGTTACCTCACTGGACTCCCACATGGCCAACCATAGTTCTAGTCCCAGACCCAGTGGATTGAAAATCAGACCGGGCACGTGTGCATGCATGCTCAAGATCATGGAAGGAGAATGGAAGGGAAGGGATTGTAGCATGGCCACCCCCTCTGGGGAGCGATTTTTCACTTTCTCTCTCACTGTCTCTGCCTCTCTCTCTCTCTCTCTGACAAGTACATGTGCCCTGAGGCAAAAACAACTTTTTTTCTTTTTTTTTTAATAAAAAAAAAGGAACAATTTGGGGCTGTAGATGATGATGAGAATTTTGAGAGAAGAACTGGAATAAGAAAGTGTCGGG